AAGTCTACTCTCTGCATTCGCTTTCATGTGTTATTCTGCAGACCTTCTTTGCAGTCAGCTCCAAACAATGAGACCAATCCGGAAGCATGACCTACTTAAATGTTTCGTGCTAACAGGCTACTGTCGTTTCCAACCACTTTAAACATGATTGATCTCACAGCATTCCTATAAAGTTTTGAATACTTTGCCCTTGCAGGCAGAGCATATGGGAGGACCATCTTGCATCCCTTTGGATGTGCATCTGTGGTCTGTGTTGCCATTTGGCGTGCTGTTAGAAAGCATGAGTCCAACTCCATGATTTCTCCCGAAACCTAGTGCGCTGCCTATGCAGGCAGCATTTTAAGGTATTATAGACTTAATCCAGACAACAAGCCTGTTCTAAACTAGGCATCATAATTATGCTAGTTATGTTATGCGTAAATATGTCAAGACATACATCATTTAAAAAGTCTGTTATGTTCACCAAGGCTGCATTTATTTGATCAAAAATTCATTGAATTAATAGTATTATTGTGAAATATGGTTGCAATTTAAAATGAGTTTTCTTTTTAAATATATTTTAAAATATATTTTAAAATGTTAATTTGTTCCTGTGATGGCAAAATTGATTTCAACATTTTCAGCTGCCATTACTCCAGTCTTCAGTGTCACATAGAGGTCTACACGGAGGACCCGAGACCCGAGGACCCGGGACCCGACCTGGGATCCGTACGGGTTCGGGTCTCTATTTTAAATGGTCAGCCGGGTCCGGGTCGGGTCCCAATCTATTACTTCGGGTCCCGGGTCTGTTTAACATTGTGGGTATTACCCGAGTCGATCGGACTCGGAGAACACCCGGCCGTTATCAGAGTCAGTCAGTGCTGTGCGTGTGTTGTTTTGTAACTTTCAACTTGTAAAATTAGGATGAGAAAAGTGTGAGTCGGTCATTTGAAATAAAGTGGAAAAAAAAACCCTGAGCGACGTCATCAGAAGCAGGGTGGGCGGAGTTAATGCACACGCGTGGTGATAATGGATACCTTCATGAGTGATGTGAGTTATCATTGATTATTTTTTTAATAATATTATGAATGAACCGTCTTGTTGTTATATCTAAAAAAAATTCGGCTCAGAGAGCACAGAGATGATAGCAAATAAGTAAAGCTAACGTGGCACTGGACGAGCAATCGTTATTATAATCCAAATGGGCAAACAGTCTAAATTATTATGCAAGTTGACTCGAGATACAAAAAATGCAAAACTGCAAAGTCGCATTTGTCATCCTTCTCTGTGACAGCAAGTGGACTTTTGAAACTGGAATAATGAGTGGATTACGCATTTCAATTGGCAAGAGAGGAATAACACGGATGGAACTTTCTTGCCAAGGAGGATTGTGTGCATCACAGTAAGGGAGAAGGTTTCTTACATTAGGTAAGACAAAAAGTTTAATTTTCGCAACTTGTTTATCGACTTGTTAATAGCAATTTGCTGTGGAATATGTGCCGATCGGGTTCAATCGGGTCTGTGTCTTCCCGGCCGGGTTCGGGTCCATCTTTCAAATTAATTGACGGTCCGCGTCGGTTCCGGGTAGTACATTTTTGACATTTCTCGGTTCTGCACGGGCCCGGGTCCAACTTTCAAAATAATAGACGGGTCCGGGTCGGTTCAGTGTAGCACATTTACGGGTCTCTTCGGGTTCGGGTACGAATTTTTGGACCCGTGTAGACCTCTAAGGCAAAGTACCATCCCTGCCTCCACCTAAGCAGTCTCTCTCTATAGTGCAAATGGTCTTTTGACAGCCTCACCAGACTTGAATAGAACACTTCATCATTCACAAATGTTAAAAATGTTTTTATCTCAAATCTACGGTGGCCGAGAGATCTCAACGTGCTGCAAATTTAAAAAAAACATATGCAAATAGAAAAAACACCAGCAAATTAAGAAAACATCTTCATCAGTTTGACAACACATGCACTACAAATACTCACAACGCAATCAAATACAGAAACGCACTGCAAAAACTCGCAACAATCAAATACATAAACGCGCTGCAAATACTCAACACAATGGTTTTACAAAACTTTTTAATATTTGTACTTTAACTTATATAGAGTATTTGAAGATAGATTACTTATACTGCTAGAAAACCTAATTGTAATCTATAAATTAACTTTTATTTTTATAACAAAATCTGCCTCCTGGGGCACTGATTTATGACTTTGAGCCAACAGACCACGGAGTCTCTTCTGTCCAATTGTAAGTATTTTAATATGCTTATAATTTAGGTCAGATTCAACTTATTTGTAATGATTAATAATATGTCTGCATGGAGTTAATAATTCAATAATGCATTTATTATGCTAAAAATGTAAGTTTAGTGTAGGGTAGAGTGGGGACGGTTGCAACAAGGGAAGGTTGCAACATGGCTTATTTCTTCAATCAGGAATGAGCTACAGTGATGATATTCATACTACACATGCTCAATCAGCCCCTCATCCTTCCTGGATGAAATCAGGCACATGTGACCATTCCTTCTACAAATAATAATTTTCATGGTAAAAAAGTATTTTTTTTAATCATCAGATTTTTTGTCATACTGTGTAAGTTGTTTGTGTGAAGCATTGTAAAAACATATGATTTATATCTGTTTTCTTAGTTTCTAATAGGCATAGTTGGTAAATGTGGACTCATTTCAAAAGTGGACTCAAGTCAGTTCCATAAAATGGTAGATTTGTCTAATTTAAATTAAAAAAAAAGTAAGACTGATTACCACTGTTAACTGCTAGTTGGTCAAACTAGTTCTTAAGATAGTGGCTATGTTTATGCAATGGCCTCAGTATGGTAACCTTTCACATATGTTAACAGAAGTAGGCTATTATTCAATTTCAGTGTCTTGACTCTGATTAAATTAAATTAAAGACCATGTCTATGCACAAATAAAATAAAGAAATTGCAAAATTATATTTAAGAATTGTTTTAATTACATTTTAATAAATGTTGCAACCGTCCCGTTGTGGGGTCAGTTGCAACATTTGACTTTGTCTATTCAAGTATAAATTGTATGTATATAATCACATGTGCACGTGTTACAGCAATGTGGGTGAGTAGCTGACTGATGTGGCTTTATTGTATTATAATTCTGGCTTTCTAATGCAAACAGTCTCTGAGAAACTAAAGCAAATGCAAAGTGTTGCAACCGTCCCCACTCTCCCCTACTCAAGTCTACATCTGAGTTGTCCTAATGGATTACTAAAATAAACAAAACTCTCACAACATCAGTCTAAAGTACAAATGTTTTCGAACTTATGCAACCTTAATACAAAGTTTCAAAGCTTTTGTAACAGCGTTTGCAAATCAAAGCTGTTTAGGAGCAATTTGAGTACCTGAAAAATAACTGACGATGGTGGTGTTACAAATGGTACTGCTGCTCTGTGCTGGGAGTTCACTTGCAGATGATTTATTTTCACCAAATGTAAACATTATTGCTGAGCTCGAGAAACTGAAAAACATGGAAGAAAGGATACAAAAATTAGAAGAAACACTGGCCAAAGTATTGAGTGAGAATGAAGGTAAGGTGGAAAAGTAGTCGCATTTATTTTTTGAATATGTCATTATGGAAAAAACATTACAATTTATGAACTATTTTAAAGAATTTACAACTTAAATCTGTTTAAATTCTTTGTTTAGTAACATTATCACATCAATGTATATTCCTAACAGCTTTGAAAACCCTAGAACAAGATTCACAAAATAAGATGGAATTTTTCCAAAAAGAGAATGAAGGCAAGTAAAATTCACACTTTGTTCCCATATACATTTTAATGTTTTAAATGACATTTTATTTTATTATATATTTCAAACCAGTCCATTCGTTTATTCACAGCCAAAAAGGTTGCCTTTTCTGCTGGACTGCTGGAATCTGGAACAGGATACACTGGGCCCATTGATACTCCGAAAACTCTGGTCTACAAAAAAGTCTTCAGTAATATTGGAGGTGCCTATGACCCAAATACTGGTAAGTTCTGTAAAGAGAATATCATGACAAATGCAGAATCCTCTTCATATATGATATTTTCTGTGGCTACGTTGTACATGTGCATTGCAGGTGTTTTCACAGCACCAGTGAAAGGAGCCTATTACTTCAGATTTTACGGTCATAGTCATGGTGGAACAACAATGGCAGTCAGTCTCTTGAAGAATGGTGAAACCCAGTGCTCTCTGCATTCTTGGAAGCCTACCGCCAATGGTAATGCCAGCAATGGTGTTGTTCTCACACTGGAGACCGGTGATCAGATTTCTACACGACTTTGGCAGAACACCTGGGTTTATGATGATCCAGCAAGTTACACCAGTTTCGGTGGTTTTCTGATTTTCCCCCTGTGAATGTCTAAATCTTATTTAACCCATATCCAGTGCAGGATGCAATATGAAATAATTATTTTAATGGAACTTAATTGTTCCTGTGTAAGTAAACGAAATTTTAGTAAATAATAGGCATAGATAAAGGGAGATCATTGCTTTTTAGTTACAATGTTTAAGTCTAAACAAAACAAAAAAACGACGATGAAAAAGAGTAAAGGTGCTGCTAAGCTCAAATGATTTTTTTATGAACGAGAGTAGTACTTTCCATATTTCTACCATATCAAATGCTGAACATTTAATTAAATAAACCAAATATGACTGAATTGTTTCACTTTCATTTTTACCCCCATGTGGTCAGACACCAGCAAAGAAGCAGAAAGTTAATAAGTGAAAATCAGACATTTAAAGCTCATAGTGTGCCGTGACATGGTAAAATAGTAATCATACTTAACATCAAATTCATGTTATTGGCGATATGAATGAAAAAGAATAAAAAACTAAATTAAAGACTAAACTAACAACAAAACAATCTGTCCTCGCTACTAATATTTAAAAAAATCACTGACATTCAAGATTTACCAGTGTTATCAAGCCTTCATGAGTTTTATGTTTGCAAAACTGAAAAAAAAAAAAAAAAAACATTCTAACACTGTTGGGCTCAAGAAATTTTCCTGTAGAATTATTCTGAAACGGGGTCATATAAAAATACAGGTAAATAAAAACAGAGATGTTTCCTGGAAGCTTTTCGGCTCTCTGTAATAAAGAAGCCACTCAAGTTTCCCCCTTCTAAAATACAAATTTGATCTTTGTTCACAGAAAAAAAATATCCCACAAGACACTCGGGGCAAACGGGGATCAGGCCAGTTTCATTCTGAGAATACATAATGGACATATTCTGCTAGTGAAATATAAAAACCCCCTCAGGTTCAAGTCAGAATGATTAAGAATAACTGTAATAATTTCTGTTGTTTGAAAACAGACCTTTTGTTTTTTATCGTGGTTGAGGGACATTTCAAAAGCCTGAAAAGATGTCATGCTAACATTAAAAATAAACTGACATAAGTGAAACTGATGTAACTGTAGTGTCAGTTATTATAAGATTGCAGGCATCTACATCATAACAGACAAATCTTCTCAAGTTTGGCTTCAACCTTTCAAAAGAACTGAAAGGGCTGAATTTTGAGCGTGTGTCTCGTATCTCTGGTGTTTAAAACAACCTATGAGCCGTTGCCATTAATGCGGTCACCATCATCTTCCCCTTCTTCATGCTCACCCTCTTCCTCCTCTCCCTCCTCTTCTTCATTCTCTCCTACCTGGCTTTTAACCTGAGAAGAACAAATAAAAAGCTTGTTTATATCTGTACAGTATCCAGCACCAATTACAGCACAACCTCTATCATTTTGCACATGGATTTTTTTACACATACCTCTTCCTCCTCCTCCTCTTCCAACAAATCTCTCTCCTCCTCAGAATCATTTATCTCTTGCTCTTCCCTCTCTCTGTCTTTCTTGCTGGAATGCTGAAGGGAGGAAGCCTCACCTGTTGGAGGTGTCTGAATAAATTTTGGTTTGACTATAACAATTGGTAATGAAAAACTATTTATACATACACACACACATATATACACATGTGTGTGTGTGTGTGTATATATATATAAATATATAACAATAGTAATAATATACATTCAATTCATAATTCTGTTTGACTGATTTTTTGACTGATCTTTTTGACTTTTTTATGACAACGTAGTTAAAGACATATTAGGAATAAGTTTAGGCATAATGGTATTTTAAATAATTTATAAAATTCTTTGGATTACTGATTATTGTCTGGGCCCATTTTGACATTGTCTGGTGACCCTGCTACAAAAACCCTGGGGGAATCCATGAAGAATGTTACCAGATTTCCTGTTGTGGTCTTTCTCCATCCTGTCCAGACTCTCCAGAAGATAGTCAACTTTGTGTTTGATTTGAGCAAGCTCTCTCTTAATAGTTTGGAGGTCATCCGCTTTCACTGAAAGAAAAAAAACCCTGAACGCATGTACTGACAACTGACAAGCCAACCAAGGTAAAAAATGTAAAATGAGAAAAGGAAGGCTAATAATGACAATGCAGACAAAAAATCAATCAATATTTTTTTAATGCATTTGTCACTGGCAGATTAAAATGAACCCCTCTACAGAGGGAGAATAAAAAATAAAAAAAGGCACTGACGGGTTTGAGAAGATGTCCGTTGGCTGCTCTTGGATGAAGTGGAAAAGCTGGACTTGGTGCGGCGGCTGGTTCCCCCACTCACACTGACCCGTGGATGTTTGGAAGGGATCACAGCCCGTAATAGAGGTGGTGGTGGTGGAGGGGGCACACGGGAAGGGTATGAATACATTCTGCACAAAACAAGCAGATTGAAAAGTCAGCACACATTTCTAAATCCACACTGGCACAGTGTTTGTGCAGATCTTACCTGTCATAATAATCTCTCTGGAAATCATAATCAAGTTCGAAAGTAGAACTACTGCTGGAGAGATTTTAGAAAATGATTAAAACTTTTGGCAACAAAACAATTGGTAATTGAAATAAAACAATAAAATGGGTGAAAATACATAAGAAGAAATTTTTCCCTACCTGTACATATCTCCAGCTGATCGCTTTGTTGTTTTTGACCTGTGAGGTTTGGGCTCTCCTGCCAAATTAATATCTGATGGAAAGACAAGGTGATTGTTCAATTAGGAGGGAAAAATATAAGATAGTCTAAGAATTTTTTTTATGTCCTCACCGAGCACCTGTCCAACAATCATCCGGCCGTCCTCTCCTCCTACAGCTGCCCGTGCGTTCCTCTCGTTGGCGTACTGGACGAAGGCATAGCCCTTGTGCAAAGAGCAGCCAACAGTCTTGCCGTATTTGCTAAAAATGGCTTCAACATCTGCCTTGGTAACCAGCACAGTGTTCAGGTTCCCGATGAAGACCCTTGAGTTCAGTGACCGTGGGTCGGTCTTATTTGTGACGTTGCTGGCCAACAGCTGACTAGTGCTGGGAGGACGACTAGGGCAGGAATAGGAAGGAAGAAGCATTAGTATATTTCCAAAGGGAAAGCTAGTCAAATTTAGCATATTCCACTTTATGATAACTAGTATAGTGTTTTGTGCTGCTTGATGCTAATTTGTGGATGGTCTAGTTAGATTATCAACCCAAAAATGGCAATACTATTGCTAAATCATTTATACACAGAAACCACACACAATATTTGACACGGAAATAAAGTGTTGATGACTGTGACTCACTCCATGGCGTCAGTGCAGGGCAGTTGTCTGTTTGTCAATGTGAGCAGGCCGAAGTGTAGATTGTTCTTAGGCAAACCGACAATTTCAGCACTCAACCAGTGAGCGGCACTTCCAACAGCTTCCTGTGGTGGTAACGTGACTTAAATTGACTTAAATTGACAACTGAGTGTGTGTGTGTATGTATGTACATATATATGTATATCTATGTATATGTATATACACTGCCGTTCAAAAGTTTGGGATCAGTAAGATTTTTTTATGTTTTTTAAAGAAGTCTCTCCTGCTCATCATGGCTGCATTTATTTGATCAGAAATACAGAAAAAAAAACTAATATTGTGAAATATTCTTGCAATTTAAAATAATGGTTTTCGATTTTAATATACTTTAATATAATTTAAATATAATTTATTGCTGTGATCAAAGTTGAATTTTCTGCATCATTACTCCAGTCTTCAGTGTCCCATGATCCTTCAGAAATCATCCTAATATGCTGATTTAATTTCAATATTGGAAACAATTTTGCTGCTTCATATTTTTTTGGAAACTGTGATACTTTTTTCAGGATTATTTGATGAATAAAATGTTAAAAAGAACAGCATTTATTCAAAATAGAAATCTTTTGTAACAATATACACTACAGTTCAAAAGTTTGGTGTCAGTACTTTGTTTTTCTTTTTTGAAAGAAATTAATGCTTTTATTCAGCAAGGATGTGTTAAATTGTTAAAAAGCGATAATAAAGACTTATATTGTTAGAAAAGATTTCTATTTTAAATAAACGCTGTTCTTTTTAACTTTATTCATCAAATAATCCTGCAAAAGTATCACAGGTTCCAATATATATATTTAAGCAGCAAAACTGTTTCCAACACTGATAATAAATCTGTATATTACAATGATTTCTGAAGGATCATGTGACACTGACTGTAGTAATGGCTGATGAAAATTCAGCTTTGCTATCACAGAAATAAATTATATTTTAAAGTATATTAAAATATAAAAAAATTATTTTAAATGGTAATAATATTTTACAATATTACGTTTTTTTCTGTATTTTTGGTCAAATAAATGCAGCCTTGATGAATGGAAGACTTCTTTAAAACACATTAAAAATCTTATTGATCTCAAAGCAGTATATATGTGTGTATGTGTGTATGTATGTATATATATATATATATGTGTGTGTGTGTGTGTGTGTGTATATATATATATATATATATATATTAAAAAAATATAAACAACTAAATATTGCAAATCATTCGTCTTCACTGTGTAAAAAATTTATGCAACACACTACAGGTATGATACAATATCATTAAAACTTTAACTTTGACCTAAAAATAGCCAGCGCGACCAGAAAGCTGCAGTGATGTTTAGGTTTGGGTTTATTATGTGCTTGTGGCCGCAATATCTCAACGAACAATACAATATAATTTAAAGGGGTCATATGATGCGATTTCATTTTTTCCTTTCTCTTTAGAGTGTTACAAGCTCTTGGTGCATAAAGAAGATCTGTAAAGTTGCAAAGACTAAAGTCTCAAATCCAAAGAGATATTCTTGTTCCCATTTAATCCGCAACAACGCGGTTTGGTTTCTTTTCATAGAAGGCACTGCGACTCAAGAAAACCCAACACACGCGCAGAGATTTATGAAATGTGATGGAAAATCCTCGAAGTAGACAAAGAGGACAGACCGCACTGCAGAGAGCCTTGCTCGGCCTAGACACTCAGAGGGCGGCGGTAACTGGTCTTTGAGTAAATGCGCGAAAAATAAGCAAAGGTCATTGTTGAAGAAAAAAAATACAAAAACTACTCACCGAATATTTAAAATGCGTTATTTAGGAAGGAACAATACTATTTCACTGGCTGCAAAAAGGCAACAACTGTGAATTCGCAGTCGATCTGCTACGACATAAAAGCTGACTACACATTTTTCAAGTTAAAAGTCATCGGTTTTATTTTTGTTATAAGCCCTTCTCATGTAAACCACGTAACGCTGACCTGCCTAGTGTTTTTGAAAAATAAAAAATATCCAAACACTATATTAAGTTTACTGTTTTAACGAGTGATTTTAAATCGCCGCTGTGCCAACTGACAAATGTGTGAAGGCTTGTATTTTGAAAGAAGCATGACCTTTCGAGTAGCGTCGCGCGCCGTTCACACATACAGACTTATTAGGGATATGTAAACGGTCCGTGTACGTTTTGATCATTCATCTCCTATTTGGAATGCAATAAATGGGACAATATTCATACAATACTAATAAGGCTACCTAGAAATAATCTGTCAGCATACTGTAACTCGCATTAAAGGGGTCACTTGCAAGTCGCAGCAACACGAATTATGTGCCCAGCAAAATCTGATTAAAATATTATGCGTAATTAACAGTGAGTGGTGGTTTCAGACATTATAGTGCCGCACTCGTACTGACTCTTATTCTGCCTGAAAGAATGAAAAGACCGTACTGAAGGCGGAGCGATTCGACCAATCACATGAAAGGAGCGTTTCAGCGCCGCCCACATGTGTGAATGAAATATTGAAACCATAAACCGAGAAATCGAGCCAAAATCTCATTTTCCGTTTGTTAAACTAAACGGAAAAACGAATAAACGAGCCGTTTTTCCATTTCTCGTTATTGCATTCCAAATAGGAGATGAAATTATCAAAACGTACACGGACCGTAAACCTACTGTTTCCATCCAAAGATGCGAATTTAACTTATGCGCAAAACTGGAATATCGCATAAAACATTTCCGAATAACGCACCGTTTCCATCCAACGAGTCAAAGAGAACAAATTGTCACTTCCTGATAAACTGGCATTAAATATCTCTAAGAAAAATAGGAGAAGCCACTGAATATAATAATTTTCATTTGTAATAAATTACTTGCGCTTCAGAGAGAGCAGACGTAACACAATAAATGAGGTCATTGCTTTTAGATGTGGATGCCTGCTGTTTGGTTGTTCATGTAAGACAGTAATTATACAGAAATACTTTGATGACAGACTTTCCTCAGGCATTTCAGAACCACCCAAACAACATATAGATGCGTTAACGAAATCGGTCCGCTGGTAAGTCAAGTTATCCCGTCTCGTAGCGCAGTCACATGACTTTTTCAATGCGCACGGTGGAATTTATTCGGTAAATGTGTTTCCATTGTAGTTTATGCGCATTTTTTCTTATCGAATAAAAAGTTTATCCTACTCAATTGTGCGCATTTTTAGAATTTATGCGCATCTTGGCGTTTCCATCCAGCGGTTTTTTATGCGACAATCCAAATTGCGCATGTAAATGACTGTCAATAGTATTATAACGCTATTTATAACTATCATATGGACAATAATTTGTTGGGCTCCCCAGTTGTCTTGTTTTTCTTAAGATTTTCCCTGTAATACCTAAACATCTTCTACAGGTTTTTCCTTTCAACAGTTACCTTTGCTTGGCCACTGGGGTAGCCTATTAGAGATTAAAGTCTCTAAAAGTATTTTCTTGTAAAGTTGATCACTGTGGCCTAAAGACCTTGAACCACTGGGACATACCTTTCTGTGAAGCTGCTTCGAAACTATGTATTATGAAAAGCTTATGACTTAAACATGATATGACATAAACATGACTCCTGTGATGAACCGTTTTCCTCTTTTTTGTAGTGCTCGAAATGACGGTCATAAAATGCAACACACTATGAATTTGACTGAAAATCAAACGGGCCAGGAGGATTTAAACAAATTATTTATGCAAATTACAAGTTCATTAGTTCATTATAATTGTCTCTTATACGATTGATCTGCGTTTGAAAAATCTCAGATACAGCAAGGAAAATTTGCAGTGGTTCTCAATATTTTTTCCTTTACATTTTGTTTACAAAATAAATACTGCTCCACAAACTTTAATGTTTAATTCTTGAACAACCACTGTTCAAAGAAAGCAACAAAAAAAAAAAATTATTTCTGTAGCTTCATTTCATTTTTAAGCTCTTAGGAGGAGCTTCAGTCCAAATAAAAACAGTATAATCCTAATACCAGAGAAAACAGCACAAATGCAATATCATTCACACTTTACAGCAAGGTAGTCAGCTGCATTAGTTAGCATGAACAATTAACACTTCTACAGCATTTATTAGTAAATTAGATACCTTTAAAATCAAAAGTTCTCTTTTAACATTAGAAACTGTAATCTAACATGAACGAACAATGTACAATTTTATTAACTAACATGATGTTATAAAATATATTGCTCATTACGATGCATTAACTAATGTTAAAGTTAATGTGGCCTTATCATAAAGTCCATTTTAGATTTCTATCATATGCTAAAGATAGGTTTTATGCTAATTATTTAAAGGTCGACTGTACATGACACGTCCCTTATTAGGCTATTTTGGGTTGTCTGTGGAAATAAAATATATAATAGAAATACATTATGTGTAATTTATTTCCTGTATAAGCATAGGATGCACAAATCGTGAAAGAGAATACAATTATCTGTCTTACCATCCATACAACTAATTAAATAGCACTAATTATGATTACATACTGTATGATGGCCGTAAGTTAATTACACAGAAAATAATTCCTCCTGTATTTACAGTAAATGAAGGCACTTGAAATAAGGCACTTGGTCAGAAACAAACGGACAGATTTTTTTACTGCAAAATTCGTACGTGTTGTCTGAACTGAACTGAAAGAACACAATATTAGGCAGCGTGGGATAACTCAGATCAAAAAAAAAAAAATTATTATTTTAAAAAAGGGGAAAAAATGCATGCCAGTAACAGGACATTTTGAGCTAACAAGTGAGAATGAGAAAATGAACACTAACAGAAATGAATGCTTGTAATTCCAGTGACAATTAGGGTTATAATCCCCCCAAAAAAGGAAGGAAAAAAATATATCCAATGTTTCCATTCATTTAAAAGTATTTCGTCATATACAATATAAACCTTTGCATCAAATACCAATTAAATTTAGACACCCTTTGAAAGAGTAAGAATTGAAGATGATTTTTACAGTTTTTTAAATATATATATATAT